TCGATTCATTCATGCATTCAGTCAATCATTCACTCATTCATTCAGTCATTTCACAGATGACGCGTTTAGTGGAGGAAGGTGGTCCAGATGGGCTAGGATGTGCTGCAGTCACAGACGACTCCAAAATGTGAATGGCTCAAAGCCAGCAAGGTTTATTTCTCACTCTTGCTACATGTCCACTAGGGGCCCGCTGGGGCCTCTGCTCCGTGTCTCCTCACTGTGCGCCCAGGAAGATAAACCAGCCACTGCCTGAAGTTGCGCCGGTTATCATGGCAGATGAGTAGAGAGTTCTTGAAGGGCATCACGTTATTTAAATGACCTGGCCCAGCGGTGACACGAGTCTCTTCTGCTCACAACTCACTGGCTAGAACTAGTGACATGGCCCCAGCTCCTCCTCGGGATGCTGGCCCATGACTGCTGCTTCTCCACGCTGCAGCAGGAAGGGGCGGTGCTTCTAACAGCAAAGCTGTTCCGGAAACCTCGGCTCACATCTCCTTGGCCAGCACTGGGACCAATGGTCACCCAGCAACAGGGCAATATCTAGAGAACCGTAAACGTGAACAGGGCGCACTGCAGCCCCCAACAAAATGGGGTTCTACTGACGAAGAAGGGCGTGAATACAGAGTAGGCAACCAGAGGGAAATGGGTGGACGGGGAATGTCGCTGGAGAATGAGACACTGTTGAAAATGTGGCGACAGAGGCCGAGGATGGACCCGGATTCCAGAAGCAATAGCCAGCCGGGCTTGACTACGAACTTGGCTTCCCTGAGCCCACCAATTTAGGGACTGGCTGAGTAGTTCCCGATGTCATCACAAGATTAAAACCAGCAAAGTAATAAAAGCAAAGTGTGTGTGTGTGTGTGTGAGTGTGAAACTCTGGATACACATTTATCAAGATTTCTGTCCAATAACAGACTACAACTGAGTACAACTAAGTATCAAGACCACGTTATTAGCTATCGGTTATTGAGGGCCTACTATGTGCCAGGTGCGGCGTATATATTATTTCTAATATTTGTGACAACAAAAGGTGGGCACTAATATCATCCCATTTTACAGCTGAACAAACCGAGGCTCACATTGGTTCGTGGATTGCCGCAGCTCACACAGCCGACAAGCAGAGGTGCTGGGTCCAAACCCAACCCGGACTGCAAACTTCTCGGCCTTTTCTCTATATCATACCATGTTGCTTAGTAATAGTTCAAAATGACAACGTGTTAAAAACTGCGCAGCCTGAAATGTTACCTGATGCACCTTTGGGGGAGAGGCGGTGGCGCTATCGATTGGTGCTGAGGACTCTTGCCTATGAAAGTCCTGTTTTCTCAGGGTGTATCTGGATCCAACCAGTCATCAGAGATGCTGGAAAACACCAGAAGGAACCAAACAAAAAGCAGCAGCCAATACACCACAGACAGGCAGTCTCGAGAAGCTCTGGATGCTGGAACTAACACATAGCTGCCCAGCCTAAGAACGGCCCCGGATCTTTGATGGATATACGGAAGCAAGAAAAAAAAGGGCCACACCATGGGCATGAGTAAGGACCCACAGTCTACCCCGTGTGGGTGTGGGGTCTGAATGCAGCCCTGGGCTCAGCCTTTGGGGTCTGGAACGTTCCTGCTTATGGATCAGGACCTTAGGTTAGAAGGTCAGAAGGTTACCAAGGCAACTCACAGCCTCCTAGTCCAGTTTAGTCAATCATTATGCATTCACTCTGACCTAGGTATGGAACTACATGCTAGGGACACATATGTTATGAACAGCTCACTCGATTATACCTGACCCCTCTGAATATTGGCTACATTCTGTCATTTGGTCAAGGGCAGTATCAAAAATCTTAGACGGTCTTATCTTATACTTAGAAGGGCAAATTTCCCATTCACTTATTCCTTACTTTTTTTCATCCACTCATCATATGTTTACCAAGAGCTTGTATGTCCCAGACACTGTTTTAGGTGCTGGAAACGTGATGATGAACGAAACAGACAATCCCTTTCCTCGTGGAATTCAGGAGTTAGTGGGGGAGACAGGTTAGCCACATAACCTCCCAACCCAAACATAAACATGTGACTACAGTATGTATTAAATAATTGCTAAGGACCAGGGATTACGCTAAATAGATTGCTAAAATGGTGCTTAAGCCTCTCCAAGTTCCCAAGGAACTGAGGCTCAGAGGTGACAGTCACATGGCCTGAAGTCACACGGCCCTTAAGTGACAGAGCGAGGATTCCAATCCAGCACCATCTGATGTAAATTCCCAAGCACTCGGCTGCTGTTCCACACCTCCCATGGCAGCCTGTGGCTCTCGTTTCTTCCCAGCTCCTGCCCTTTCTCCCCTGAGGTCTGGGTTTGGGCTTTGGCGGTTCCGCCCTCTCAGGCAGTCTTGGACATAAAGTACTCCAGCACCTAATAAGTGCAGTTTACTGGGATCAGGCATCTTGTTACAGATTTTCATACGAAGAACCTACCATGATTTTTTTCACCTCATAGATACCTGAAGAACGAGATTACCACCTGGGCCAAAGTTAAAACAATATTCTGTGTAGACATTGCCAAAGGTCCTGGATTATTAGTGTAGCAATGGCGCTCCCTGGTGGCCATTATTGTGTATTACACGTTCTTTGACTTTCAGAAGGGAGGGGCATTTGGGATGTGGTAGTGGCTTCCTATTGCAAATCTGGGTGAATAGTAAGCCTCCCCTAGTCTGGATCCCCTTCACGTCTCATCCCCCACACTATCCCATTTATATCCATTCCAGAGACGATGTCACAGCCATAGAGTGTAGCATATTCTGACGGTTAAGAGTTCCAACAACCAGGACACAGGGTCCCCATACCCGCTATGAGATTGCCAAAGGGTGAACCACATGCTGCCAATCTCCAGGATCACTGACTCATTAGGTCATGACAAATGAATCCACCATCTCCCACTATAGTGCTTCTTTTCTGAAGGCTGTGGCTCCAATGCCCCCTCCATTTCCTCCAAACACACATGTGTGCACATGCACACGCATGCACGCGCGCACACACACACACACACACACACAAATGCTCTGACCCTATCCAATGATCATAGGAAACAGATCAAAAATTATGCATTCACTCTGACCTAGGTATGGAACTACATGCTAGGGACACAGTGACAGCCAAGTCGTGGTTCCAGCTCTGAAGCTTACACTCTACCATGGGAAACAGGTGACCAGTTAGCCTATAAATTATTCACTTCCAGTTATAGTAATTGCTACAAGAATGAGGCTCTGAGTGTCTGTATCAGTGAGACAAGACCAGATTAGGCCTGAGGGTCAGAAAAGTTTCCCCAAAGGAAAGAGCTTTTAAGGTGTGGTGTGCCAAAAATGGAGACGAAGCTCATCGAAGGGGGCTCGGAGGAGAATGAACATGGGGACTAAGCAGCCTGAACGGGGTAAGTGGTAAGTGTGGAAAATTAGTAGGAATAGACATTAGGTAATCGTAAGGATGGGGAAGTATTGGGAATGTTTGTCATTACCTTAATCATTGAGGAAGATTGAGGGGATGTTAAAGGATGAGTATAAACTAACCTGAATGTTTGAGGGTTCATTTAATAGTAAATGTTGTGGGTACAGAGCACCCCAGATCTGTCTATTCTGCCTCTTCCCAGAAGCTAAGGATATTGAGAATTTAGTATTTATACCCTCTCCCCACTGCTTATTTAAGATAAGGAATAACAATAGCAGACAATTGCCAGGGCTGTGGGCAGGAGCTGAGCTAATACTGGGCAAACGGCTGAAGGAAGGGAAGACAGTGGTGGCAGCTATGGGGTTCCAATGGCGAATTGTGGCTACAAAAAAAAAAAATCAGGATATAAAGTCTTACCTAGTGTATGATGCCAGCCAGTTCTCAGGATGCGGTGCGACTTATACATTGTAAGATTTGGACTTAGTAAACCTGTGTTCAAATCCTCCTTTTCTTCCTCGAATTACGTGATCGGGGCAACAAACTCGGTGCCTCCATAGTCACATGTGTAAAATAGCAATAATAGTACCTACTTTTCGATTGTTGTGAAGTAGTATATGTAAAGTGCTTATCAGTATACCTGGCACAATCCAATTACTCATTACTAGTTTATTATTATTATTGACAGTATTAATACCCAGGAGGAAATCCTTAATCATTTCAAGAAAGAATTCATGAAGACAATTTGCCATTATTTTCCAATTTTTCTAAAATAAGTATGCATTGCTATTAAAAATCAGAAGGGGATAAAGACCCTCACACATTGCTGAATAACAGAAATTTGATTAGTCCGCTGTTTTCCAAATTTCCTGGACCTTATTGTCCAAAGAGGCCGCGGGAGTGCACGTTAAAAGCGCAGATTGTTAGGCCCCCACCCAGAAAATCTGAATTAAGAAATCCGCTAATCTATAATTCTAATCAGCCGTGGTGATGATTCTTATCATCAGTCGTAGCCGGGACGCGCTAATTTAGAGCAAGGGTTGCAGCGATGGGAGAAAGGACCGCCCTGCCATTAACACGAGGCCCTCCGCCTACAATTCCCACACTGCCCCGCGAACTGGCGACGAGCGGCCCGAAGCCTGCCGGGAGTTGTAGTTTCAGTCGCCCAGACCTCTGCCTATAAGAAAGCCGGTGATGACTGCCGCATACCCCCGCCCCACAATGCAAAGGCCGCTTGTGACGTCATCGGAAAGGCGCCCGGGGGGCAGCTGGCCGTTCCTGCCGCCTGTCCCACCACCGCGGCAGCCTCAGAGCCTGTTCCCGCCCCCTGTCCCGCCGCCGCCGCTCTGTCCTCTTCCCCCGCCACCTCTCCGCGACGCGGGCCCTCTGTCCCTGAGAGGCAGCCGTGCTT